GCCTCTGTTGCCGCCGTCAGGCGGGATGGACGATGTTTTTGGACATTTTAAGGTTCCCAAAAGATTTTGGCAGACGTGGTATTTTTTTGGGATATATCGATATATTTATGATATAAATCTGTTTTTTTCTGTTTTTTGGTTGGACTTGTTGGTGCCAAACGTATTTTGTTGACATGTTTGAAAGTTAATTTTTAAGGGTCCTTTTCAAAAGAGGAGATGAGGAGATGTGAACAGATGATATTTTCAGAATTGTGTGTTTCCGAACGACATTTTTAGGGGGGTGGGGTTGACTTTTCGGTCTCTTCACGAAGCTGATTTAGATTCCATGGGGATGGACATCCATGAACAATGGAGGGGATATGTTTTTTGGGAACCAGAATCATAAGACATAAGATATCCCAAGAGGGAACTATGTCCACTGGGCTGTATGGCAATATTGTTTGTGGCTTTTCGTGGCTCATATTCTCTCCAATTTATATAGATGGTCCTTATTCTAGGGGCTTGCAGCGGGGGAACGGGCATGCAAACCACTATAGAGGGACCTCTTACCGGGCCAAGACAAAAAGGTCTAGACGTTTCAAGCTTCCATCCCCAACGTCTTCGCAACTTCGTAAATTTGTTTATGCCAAGCTATGCATGGCTGCTACGCCCGCAAGTCGGGGAATCTCACCCAGTGCAGTGCAAATCCAAGAAAAACTCGAGCTCGAAGCTTTCGGAACATATGGCTATAGGATACTACAGCTCAAACATTGACATGTTGGGAACTCCAAGACTACTAAGATATATTTTTGTGTTTTTTTTTAATGCCAAATTTATGCCAATCATACCAACATAGCAGCAATGAATTATAAACATATTTACCATAGAGCTAGAAATATGGAGTTTTGATGTACCTCAATTCTACTCAGCTGCCACAGACGACCAAAGTTTGGAGAAGGAGTGGCGCGAGGCCGGAGAGTTTCCGCTGGAATCTGCGGAGGGAAAATCCCAACGAGCCAGGGCCGCCAGGGCCTTGGTTGCTGCTTGGATATACATTTCATTTAGATCCAGTTACTAAGTGTGGATATTCCATACATATGGGATATTGTACATGATATATATATATATATATAATATAATGATATATAATATAATATGGTCATTTTTTTATGAACTGTCCAGCCTTGTTTTTTTTGCCAAGCCATGGCACTCAACTTGGAGGATGCGGATCCAGAAATGGCACTTTTCAATGGCAATTTAGCCTAGGGTAAACTAACTGGCTATTGAACAAGGCCCACATATAATTGATTGATATTGATTCACCTGTTCAAATGGTGATTTTCCAGAGTCTTGTTAGTTTACCAGAGGGTACAGTTAAAATACTCTTCTTTTAATTTGCTCTATTTTGTTTACAAGAATGTGATGATGACCCCCAATGAGCAATCTTTTTCACGGGACTTGAAACTGCCTAACCAGAAGATCCAAGAAATGGGATGACGATCTGAAATCACGATCATGGGGGTTGAAACCACCTATATAGTACAAATCTGTATTAGATTCTAGGTTTCTATGGTTTCTAAACTAACCTCAACATACCATATTTTATAAAGCCATATTCCTAGGTTTCTCTAGTTAGATGGGTGAAAAAAAACATCAACCATAACTGGGGGCCTTCCAGCCACAGTTACCCCGCAGGGCGAGACCTCGGGTGGCGCCCGGGGTTCAATTGAAGGCCAGGGACCATTTTGTGGTTCGGAAATGGTAAAGGATGCCTGAGATTTTTGGGCTACCATCTGGTTATTTAGCATAGCCATGGAAAATCCACCCATTTTTAATGGGTAAATCCACTATAAATGGGCCATTCCCCATGGCTATGTTATATTAAATAACCAGAGGGTACCGGGTAACTACCTGATTTTCAGAGGAAACCCAGGCGCAAAAATGGTCGGGCGTTGGAATGTCTGGACCTCACAGAGAAGTCACCGAAGAATTTTTCTAAGATCTCAGAGCTATTCTGCCAGTCTTTTCGTTTGATATGTTGAGTCTGTTGAGTTATAACTTGCTTGACACACTCATCCCAAAGTGGCTGGCTATCTAATCTAATTGTTGCGTTTCTTTACATGTTTGAATATATGATACATTTATGATACTGTATATGTTTCTTTTGTTTGATCCCGTCTCCCTGTTGCCTGAAATCTGTGCCAGAACTCTTCTGCCTAGAGTCTAGAGGTCTTAGCATGTCGGAAACAGCAAATGTTCGTCAAAGGGTTGCTTCAACGTATTGATGATAGTCACTGGTATACTGGTGGGGTTGCCATTGGTGGGTTTGCTCTTTGTTTTCCTTCCTATCCTGATTTCCCCCGCAGTACTGCACAGGCTGTTGGGAGCAACCATGTTTGACTTGTGAAATTGAATCGATCTGCTCCTCCAAACATGTGGAATTCTGCTCCTCAGGCCGATCAGTCAGGGACTCCCAGTGGGCTTCCGGGACGGAACGGGTTCAAAGAACCTGTAGGGAACAGCTGGTTTCGCAAAATCTTTCCGACGCCCTTCCCATGTCAACATCCGAGGGATTCAACAGCCCTGTCAAAGGTGGCCCCTTCAATCATTGTTTTTTTTGGAATAATGACCGACTCATTAAGGGTTTTTTCAACCACCAACAACCACAACAATAACTGGTTGGTGGTTTGGAACATTTTTTTTATTTTCCATAATATATGGGATAATCCTTCCCGTTGACTAATATTTTTCACAGGGGTTGAAACCACCAACCAGATATTTTATAACCATCTACTCTTCGGGGGTCACCGAAATGCGGGTCGGTTGAATCCTCATCAGATTTGTTTCGATGCCGCACGGGATTTTTATGAGGGGATAGTGGATAACATTGGTATCATGTGAGACAACAGTGGTGATGATGATGATGATGATGATAGAAAGGATATGGGTTTGTCCAAGAATGGGGTGATACTCGTACCCGGATACCCCCAATATGGCCATCTACTAGTGGGGAAACGTGATCTTCAACCATGGGATTTTGGGTATTTTGGGGGTATCCGTGGGTATCCTATTTTCAGTCAAACCCAACTTTTGGAATGTCGCTTCCTTCCCAGGTCAAGTTGTTTTTTTAACACATGATCCATGAAGAAAATACCTTGGACCTTGGTTGATTGGCCAATATAAGGACTAGCAAATGTATTGGGATTATGATACCCTCTGATAAACAAACATCGCTATGGAACATCAGCATTTTTAATGCGAAAACTCACTATAAATGGCGATTTTCAAAGCTATGTGGCTGTTTACCAGAGGGTATTCCATAGGGAAACCATTTTTTCACCAACTCGTCATGGGAAAGCAATCGCTGAGGGCAGAGGCAAACGCCTCCATGGAGTGGTGGTGAGAAAAGGTGAGAATTACGGCTTCATTCAGCCTGGTGACTCAGGGGCTGAAGAGACGGACAACTTCGGCACCTTAAAAGTTGGGGCCGAAACCCAGTGTGGACTGAATATTGGTTGAACAGCTTCAGAAGTATATAGGTTGTACAACATTGAAACCACATGAGTTTGTCCTTCTGAAACCCCAGATGCAGAAATCATCTGCCTGAAAATCCGGACTGAACCAATAATTCACAGTTCATGATGTCCTTTCCCGGTCCATTAGATCACGCCAAACGATGAATGCTTAAATCTGTTCCATACAGATGTGACATTATATATTGTATTGTTGTTATTACCATCTGGTTATTTAACATAGCCATGGAATATCCACCCATTTTTAATAGGTAAACCATCTATTTCTATGGGCCATCTATACCATAGCTATGTTAGTCATAACCAGAGGGTAATTATTTGAATCACATCAAGACCTTCTCTAGAAATTTGGGCTGAGGGGCTTTATGTTTGTTGTGTTCTCGGTTCATTGGGTGCCCCAAAAACCCGTCATTTTCCAACCAGTGGTTTTCCCCATGATGGCCAACATCAAGGGGCCCGGGGGGCCCAAATCCATGCCACTGTGAAGTTTGGATGTACCCAACTTGTTGATAGTCACTAATCATGACATGTCGGGATTTAATGGGATCTATATATTATATAAATCAACCATTCATCATGATGAATCCAAGATTCCAGTTATATGGGATGGATCCATACTAGTCCCATCTTTTGACCATGGCACATTGTGATGTTCAAGCCCGGGAAAGCTCAGATGAAGCCATCCGAGTGTCATCGGACTGCCAGGTGTGATGACATCCGGGACGCCGTGTATGTTGACAGGTGCCAGGGGTGTGTTTTGAGGTTAGATGCGGTGGCCATGTAGCACTTTGGCATGGAACATTAAACACAAATCATCCACAGTTGGTGGTTCATCCCAGTCAGTAAGTGGCTTCTAAACTAGTTGGGTCTGATTATAAGCCACCAACAAAGTGGGATGAACCACCAAGCAAAACAAGGTGGTAAACTCATTTCAGGTTTATAATGCCGCCCCAGTGGTGAGATTTGTTGTTGGCTGTACCACATTGTTGCTGTATGCACAGCTGGTTTAACCCCCTGCTTAAGATCGGTTGGCCATCTGGTACCATGGAGTTCAACGTCTAAGTAAACGCACTCCCAAATGCAAAAAAGTGAGTCATTGGACGGGTACATCTTTGATGGAGGATCCACAGTTCCTTTCAAGTGGCTTCAGTTTACAAGTTTACACCCTTTCCCATATGCTCCATAGTGCTGGTATATTTACCTACATTTGCCCTAAAAACACCCAAATGTAGGTAAATATACCATACATAGATCCTATGGGTTTGGTTGCTTGAAGACCCAAGTACCAACTTTTATTGCTGCGGGTTGAAACTACTGGGAACATGTTCACGGACAGTCGGACAAGATCTGCCCTGAGATGACCCCTGTCACAGATTTCAACCCTGAGATGACGTTCCTCAATTGACATGTTAATACTTGTCAGAGTGAAACCATTCAAAGCCACCTGCGCATGAATCTGATCACCTCAACATGCTGCAGATCAGGTGGCTCAAGAGTTGTGGTGCTGCCGGCGTTTTTGCTGAGGTTGCTGTGCGCAACCGGTTGCTATGGCCGCACCTTTGATACCTCGCGGAGAGGATGGTTTGATCAAACAGGAGCAAAAGATGCCAGTGTCGCGTGGCCAATTTTGTGTTTCGGAACCAGGGTGCAAAGTGGAAAAGAACTTGGCAACCCGAATCCCCATTGATACGATGTGAGGCCCCCAAGATAGCTAAGTTGGTTTATAAGCCCCAGTAACTAGTTCGTTATAAGTACCATAAACCATAGTTATTGGAGTTATGTGCACCAACTTAGCTATCCAACGGGGGCCTCACATTGTAGGTCTGATAGGTAAACTATCTATAGGTTGATCGGTTGATCTGAAAATTGGATCTCGAAACTCCGATTTTCCTTACTTTCAGGCATTGTCGGCGGCCCTTTTCCTTTAAGAAAAAGTGGCTGGGTAAAGCGACGACAGTGCACGGCACTGGTAGGTTACTTGTTGATGCTTTCGCAACTATCATTAGATTGGTTTAAGGGAACACCTATATTATATATATATGTATACAGGAACGCCGTAGAATAGGCGTTATCAAGAACGTAGTTTCCGGTTAAGATTCTCCCTTCAACCAATCCATGAAGATTCTACGTTTTAGCACCATGAGTTCTATCCCAAATCATGAGTTCTTTGAAGAAAGTTGGGTGGAATTGAAAGTAATCCCATGACGGATCCATGGTGCTGCTATACATGGTGCTCCATGGATCCCATCAATATACCCCCAATGTTAGCATATGTTAGCATATATACCAGCACCATGGATCCGTCATGGCAATTGTTTGCTACTTTGAGGACAAAAAATAGCCAGGAAGTCATATGAAGTCATACATTTTTAAACCAGTTTGAACTTCCTTGGAGTGGAAGTCGGCGGGTCCGTAGCCTGACTGACGTGGAATGGAGGTGGGATGGAACCACCCAGTGCGATGGGGACACCCCCCCAATTAGAGAAGAGCAGCTTTGAGAATCGTTGGGCCCTGTCACAAATACAGTACCAATATGTCCCATATGCTCACCATGGTGCTGCTATATTTACCTACATGACTGGGTGATTTTTATTTTTAGGGCAAATGTTGGGATTCATATTCCAGCACCATGGTTCGCATCTGGGTTTTGAAAAACATGATCTTTTTTGAGGATGCGGAGTAGCCATCAAAATTTGGTGAAGCTCGGTACATTGTCCCATGGAATTCCTGGTGATTTTTGAAGGAAAATCCTCCCACAGATCTCCCCATGGGGGCCGAGCTCCGGGATTCATCCCTGGCTTCACTGAATATCAAGTGGGGGGTTCATCACTGATTTTTTCGGGTCACTGAGTCCGACCTCACGCCGTTTTTTGCCTGTCATGGTCAGGATTGGGGCAACTGCCGAGCCAAACTTTTCAGGTGAGTGAAGTATCATGATTGACCCAGACTTATGGCAGGCCAGTCCTGGCAAAAAACCAACAGCATTTGTTGATTCCATCCCGTAGGACCGTAGGACTGTCCTACCCAAACTTGTAGGGCCTCCAAGTTCTAAGTTGTGCCACTAAGGTCGTTTGGTTTTACCCATCCAAGGGTAGATATATCCACCACAAGTAGAGTCAGCCCAGTTGTAAACCAACTTACCTATGGTTTGGGAGGTCCCTTCCTGTGGTAGTGGTTGTTTCTTCCATCAATTTGTTGGTTCCCATCAATTCATGATTATCATCCAGCCCAATTATACCCTAATTTCTGCTGGTTTTTCCTTTGCAGAAAGCTCCCAAGATTTGTTTCCCTCAGGACAAAGAACAGGTACTGTAAATGACGATATATGAAAACAATTTTTACCAAAGGGATATTGACTGCCTAGCAGTCACACCTATGAGTTTGCTCTTTACCCATCAAACCAGTTAAACCCAGCAGTTTGGTTGACTTCTTTCAACCAACTTTCTTTTGGCGTTTCGGATTGGGGGCACCACCGAAGGTCGTAGATGATTTCCATCCTTGGAACATAAGGAGCTTCTTTCCCATCATCATCGCTGTCTCTGTGACCATGGGGCAAGCATTGGCTTGGCCTATCTACCTCTTTGGACATCGCCAGGACGGGGGTGGAGCTACGTTGGTTTTTCCAGGGTGGTTGGTTTAGGGATGAACTGGTTGGCCAGAAATGGAGGTTTTCTGAGTTGACTTGGGTACCCCAAGGCATGATTTTGTTGATTTTTGAACCATCTTGAGTTATCGCGGTGGCTCAGCTCCATTTTAGAAGCCCCCCAAATGGATATGGCAGTGTGTCAAAACCATGTACCCCTGGTGAACATCAAAATAGCTGGTAAATGGATGTTCATCCCCCTAAAAATGGTATTAATAGGTATTGATACATACCCAAATGAGCCATAATGGTCAAGACTGGGGCAACTTGCCCCTGCAATGCCCCTGCACATGGGGGATGGGAGTCGTAGCACCGGCATCCCCACTGGTGGTATGACCACAGCCCCACCATGTTGGGATGACCATGGCCATATTCAGAGGGAGGCCGTGCGTAAAACCTTGGTTAGAACATGGGTTTGTTTAAGGTGTTTTTTTATTTTCCCAATGGAAAATCCACCATTTGGGGAATCTATAGTGAATATATTATATATATAATTATATATATATATATTTTTATTTTTTGGGAACCCCTTAAGCAAATCCAACATAAGTTATGACCTTAGGTATATAATCCATGTGAAAGCCGCAGAAGCCTCCATTGAATCTAGAACCAGCAGAGTTCATAGATGATTTCCCATTCATGTTTCCCAGCGGAAGTATTGCCTTTACAAGAAGGTGCCCCAAGATGGGTCTCAGTTGGCTTATACCTACAATCAATGTTGGATTCATGGCGGGAATTGTGACCATTTGACGATTTACCTCACGGATGATTCAATTCCACGCGAAGTAAAAGTAGAAAGCCGTTCTTGGCCTATTGATTTCAGAATCTTTTTGGATATCTGGTTGGTGGTTTGGAACATGAATTTTGTTTTTCCATAATATATATATATATGTGGGAATGTCATCATCCCAATTGACGAACTCCATCATTTTTGAGAGGGGTTGGTTGAAACCACCAACCACTTAATGTTCCCATTAAAACCTCTTTTTTGGTGCGGATTTTCCATTGCCACCTTTGATTCCTTCCCATTGACTAATATGTTTCAATATGGTTAAAACCACCAACCAGTTGAAATAGCTTCTGCCGGAAGATTTTAACCCATGCCCCAGAAGGACCACGCAAATTTCACACAAGACGACGCCGCACAGGCTTACGACGCTAAGATTGACATCTTGGCGTCCTTGAACTTGGGTTGGTTGCAACCGGTCGAACATTGTTGAAGGGTGCTGGGGCAGATACGGCAATGCTTCATTTTAAAGAGTAACCCGCCAAGATAGAAAAGTGGGAACATCTGGAAATATTAAATCAATATCACCTATGACATCCTGGAAACATGTTTCCTATCTTTTACAAACTAATCATTCACTGTCTCTCAACTTTCCAGGATTCAGTGTCTCTATAGTAACCCCCAAGATGATTCAGAAAGGTTAGATGTACCAGCATTTGAGTAGAATCTTACCTTTCTATCTGTTGGGGAGGTTACCAACCAACTTGCTGCCAGCCATTGCAAGCCCTTAGGGAGCAATGATGGCTATTGAGGTACCTGGCCCTCCTGGTGGTCTATTACACCAAGCAGATTGTCTCCCAACATGCCTCCTATGTGCGCAACCACGCCAATGTGCCACGCCGGCTATTCCAAGTTCCACACCTGATGATGTATGAGTCTGAAAATGGGTATACCCCTCATTTATCCCAATTGTGAAAGGAATATGATGACTGACCCATGTAATGATATGATATATATTTACATCTGTATCAAGTCCCTGGCCCAGAATTTCCGTTGAGGTACGTCCTGTTAGGTACCACAGATGTACCATCTTAGGACTTTTAGGGGCCAGCATCCAGATTTTTCGGTAGCTCGTTCTGACTGCTACCGATACCATTAAAACCCCATATATATAATTGTAATAATATATATATACATAATACACATATATATATATGTATAATATACATATATAATGTACATATATATATACACATATGAAAATTGGATAACCCCAAATTTTATGATTGATCAAACATAAATTCCCTACTAAAATGGCCCATTTAATGGGTATAACGACAGCAACGAGCGAAGTTGCTGCAAGAAATTGCAGGCAAAAGGGTGGCAGAAGATCCGGCTGTTTGTGCAATAGGCAAGAAATGGTGGCTCTAAATTGCCTTTGGTAATACACAAATCCTGCAGTTGAGGACTATTGGGATTCCGATTAGCCACCCTTTTTTCATTGCCCATAGGATCCATGTATGCTATATATGGTAACATTTACCATCTATATACCCCAAATGTTAGCATATATACCATACATGGATCCTATGGGTTGGGATTGTAATGGCATAAACCATCGACCAGGATTTGGAAACCATACACAGCATGTTCAGAGTGGAGTCACCACCGAGGTGTCCTTACCGAATCACACGGTGCACAAGGTCTTTATCCCTGACGGACCGCATAAATTTCGCGCCGGGGGAGGGTGCTGCTATCAAGAAGATTTAAGGGGGTGTCTGAAAATGGGGATACCCCAAAGTAGTCATTCTAATACCCATAGGATCCATGTATGGTATATTTACCTACATTTGGGTGATTTTTAGGGCAAATGTAGGTAAATATACCATACATAGAGCATATGGGATAGGGAGAATGAGAAACACTCCGGATTTTGGGGTCGCCCTATTTTTAGACAAACTGACAAATCCTTGATTTTGAGCTGCTTCCTCCAGGAGGAAAACAGCTGCCCTACGTCCTCCTGGAGGAGGATGGCATGGTGGGGAAAGCCAACCGAGCTCAGCGAGGCTTTGAGAACTTGATGGAGCCATCTGGGCTGCGTTGGCGGATGGCCGGGCCGCGATTGGGTGTGAAAAGACCATTTTTGGGGGAGGATTTCTTAGTTTTCACCATTCCTAACTTGTTTTTTGTAAACTAAGGGTATACATGAGAGTTTCCATAGTCATGGGATGATATCCCAAAAACGCTGGATGCTTTGCAATGGAACATGCGATAATGACATGGATGATGTAGGGGTAACCCCATTTTAGGAACCCTCCACCATGGTGAAAAGCGTAGGATTTGGGATTGTATAAATGTCGCGATGGGATGCCACTGACCTAAACCGCCTGGGTTCACCTTGTTTGGAAAGTGGGCGAATTTCACCCATGGCTACGCTGTTGAATTCTGGTGCAACATGGTAAGTGTTTGTCATCTGGATGGGAGCATAGGCAACCATGTGCTTTTTAGTGAGATGCATGTGATTTTGTCTGAACATGGGTCATTCAAAATTCACCGGGTTATCATCATTTGCCCAAGAAAATCTCTGGATTGATTGGCTGTCCAAGAGTGCCCGATTTGCCAAATCGCATGTTTAGCCAAAAACTGAAGATCAATGATGGGATTTGTGACATAAGAGCACAAAAACTTACGAGCAATTGATTTATCCCATAGGATCCATGTATGCTATATATGGTAACATTTACCGTCTATATACCCCAAATGTTAGCATATATACCATACATGGATCCTATGGGTATTGTTACCTATTTTTTTCATTGATAGAGATAGGTCGAGAGATAAACTGAGCCAGTTTGGGGCTGGACATTGAGTCTCAATTGAAGATATTTGGGTGGTTCAACCATGAGATAATGGGATATAATTTCTAACCTTAGGGATACAATTAGTTGCTTTAGAAGTAACATTTATGGCAATTTATGGAATCGACCAATTCATCAGGATCATTTATGGCCACCGCACATTGCCAAACAAACCCCATGAATGTCATGTTTTTTGTTGAAAAATACATGAACCGAGAAAAAGGGGACTTCATCGGCATACGGTCATACTGAAGAGTCCCCAGAACATAGGGGGTACAACTTAAGCAAAAATGATGGAGATGCAACCGAGAAACATCCCAGGCAATATGGTTGGCAATATTTGGCGTCTTGGCTACGGCCACCTATGATTTCAATATATTTCAATGTATCCCAGAACAAGATCAGATGTACTGTTTGCTCGTACTCAAACATGGCAATTGTTCAATTCGTCCGTTTATAAATTTTAGGTTCCCATTAGTTTACCTCCTTTTTGCTGCGGAGTTTCCTCTTCACCACCTTTGATGAACACCGAAGGATCATAGCTAGTAGGATCATTGGATTGGTTCAAGTGGTGAAATGTCACAGGAAAAAACACCTATCTATAAAACATGGGAAAATCATCCATGGTTTCTGTAGTAGTGAACCAATCGGTTAGGATAAATAGATTTCTGAAATAGTACAACGTTGGAGGAATAGAACCTTCAGTCTTTGCATTGTCTGACCAAGGGATCCAAGGGTCCGCTGGAGTTGAGGTATTTGCCGATGTATTTGGTCTACCTTTGTGCCATTGGCTTTGTGTGCCCCTGCGGACCGGAAGGGGCCCCAGGAAAGTTGAGAACAACGGTTGGATTGCGAAGATAGCTACAGTTGACATCAGTTGACTGGGTAAACTGAGGGAAAAACGGGGCCAACTTTGCAGTTGTAATTCCAGTTCCCAACTTGGGACAATTGGTCCCAAATCTCGGCAATGTGTTAACGGTCGACTGGTACGATACTGGTTTAAAAGCCTCAAAATCGGCAATTGCTGCGATGTGTGGGGCCCCCAAACGTTATAAGTTGGCTTATAACCCCATTTAACTATGGTTATAACTACCATAGACCCTAGTTATTGTGGTTATAAACCAACTCAGCTATCTTGGGGGCCCCCACATTGTGACATGAGCTTGGCATCTGCTTGAGGTACCCTTTCCCGGCCTTTGTGAATGCGTGCGTCTTCTTCTTTTCGCGCGTGAAATATGCCTTCGACTACACCAACGCCACAGCGGCTCGAAACACGGGCTTCGCGATCTATGGGATGGCTCAAGCATGCCTTGAGACTCGGCTGGGCCCACCACACGTAGCATTTGGGTATGGGTCAAAATTAGGTACCCCAAAATTATGGATGGTTAATACTAAACTAGACTAACATCTGTGGTCCCCTAGGTCTTCCATTTTGACCCACATCCATTTGGAAATCCATGGATCAAACTTCGAGGACGTCAAGACCCACAGAACCACCACATTGTATTATTATGAATTACACATTATTACACACTGGTTGGTGGTTTGGAACATTTTTTATTTTTCCATATACTGGGAATAATAATGATAATGTTCCCAACTGACTAATATTTTGTCAGAGGTGTTGAAACCACCAACCAGCATACATGTATGTGTGTATATCAATAATGTATATGATTGTATATATGCAAGGTATGTACAGACATGTATATACAGCATATAAATGTAGAAGTGAGTGTCCAAAAAAAAAGAGCCATACCCAGAACGCCCGCTGCCCAGGAAGGCCTTTTGCTCATTGCCGGTGTGAAGGCGCTCTTGAGAGCCTAAGAGCAGGCGCCAGTCTAGGTGGATCTTTGCCAGATGCTGGTACTGCTTAGCAAATCTGACAAGTACGTGCCTGAAGTATCCTGAAGTGGGGTTGTGAGATATCATTGTCTATAACCCATATGGTTATAACATCCTGAGGATTTGGGTTAAGTATCCATATATATATAACATTGTTATATGGGTTAAGTATCCTGAGATATCATTGTCTATAACCCATATGCGAACCATGGTGCTGGTATATATACCTACATTTGGGTGATTTTTAGGGCAAATGTTGGTAAATATTCCATACATGGAGCATCTGGGTAATCGTTACAGTAGTATATGTTCGTATAACCGTAGTTCGGTTCACCCAACCCAAAAACCATAGGATGTTCCTCTGGCGACAAGGACCCCTCCTTAGGGTCCACTATGACTTGCGTTTAGGGTGGGGACTTAATGGCTAGATACGTTTCTTTTTTTGCATGGGGGGGACACCCTAAGACGTTTCTTCTATTTTGTTTTTTCAGCAGAAAACTCGTTGATATGAAAAATGTCGGATGTGTCTTTGTTTCTTTAATTTATTTTTTATTAATCATTATTTGCCATTATTTACCATTAATTATACTTATTATTTTTGCCCCCTATGAATTATGAACACTAAGCAACAAATGAAGAACATCTGCTTCCAGTTGGATTTGGTCAGATTCAAGGCACAGACCATCCCAGCCATTGTCCGGAAGATCGGAACATGAGTTGGGTTTGTCTTTAAAAAACCTGGCAACATTGTTCCAAAATTGGGGAAATGTTTGTCTACTATCCGGAAGATCGGAAAATGAAGATCGGAACATGAATCCCCACATTTGATGGTTGACCACAATGTTCCAAAATGTTCCTCTCAACATTGCCATTTGCGTGTATCCAATTTTCAGACCCATTTTCGGGCGATTGAAACATCATAGGAAACGCAACCCCAGTTTAGGGCAATAGCCATTCTTCAGAAAATCCTTGTCAGAAAGAATTGTTCAAAGCTAAAGCACCTGCGAATAAATCACTAGGATCCTTACCCAAGTGATTTATGATCATCATCTTGGGGTTTCAAATCAGTTTCTATCATTTGGGTTGTTCCGATAGGGTACCCCCAAAGTAGATGGTTGAAGAAATCACGTTCCCTATTCAAATGGCCACAAACATGTGCGTATACTCCGTTGACAGACGCAAAATATCATAGTGTTGGCTATTTATCCCACATCCTAATTATTATGCTCCATGTATGGTATATTTACCTACATGACTGGGTGATTTTGTTCGGGCAAATGTAGGTAACTATACCAGCACCATGGAGCATATGGGTTATGTTAAACAAATCCTATTTTCACACCAGGTCTTTGTGCATATTTTGGAGTTGCCCTTGGGCGCCGTTTTTGCGCACGGCTGGACAGAATCAGAATCAGAATCAGAATCAAACATGGCAATGGAAAATCCCCGGTTTATAGATGAGTTTCCTGAAAAAACCCTCCATTCCCATAGGATCCACATATGGTATATATGCCACAATTTGGGGTATATTGATGGTAAATGTTAGCATATATAGCATACATGGATCCTATGGGATTTATAGGGGATGTTCAACTGCCACGTTTGATGAGCAGAGGGTAGATCCCTGTACTGGTTGGCTTTTATACCATGTTTTTCCAGGTTCTGTTGGGTTCTGTTGGTTCAATTTCAAAGTTCCAACCGTATTGCATCGCTTGAGCATCGCTTTACCGATGCACGCAGGATGATCTGAGAGTGTGCTAGCTGTGTTAACGTCTCACGATAGCGTGGGGGATGTGCTATGGGAAGATGATAACAGCGACTCTTTTGAGGTGGGTAAGCGCCCCCTTTTTTTGGCTTTAGTGACCTCGAATTGGTGGTTGCAAATTAAATAAGTTGAAAAAAGGTGACTTTGAAGAAGCAGGTTACCCTCTGGTAAACTAACATAGCTATTGAAAATGGCCATTTATAGTGGATTTTCCCATTGAAAATGGTGATTTTCCATAGCTATGTTAAATTACCAGAGGGTATCAGTATTTTCGTTGGATTTTACTTTTCTATATATATATATTTTTGTTTGGTTCCTAGTCAGGGAATCCTGCCACTGACAGCGGATTTGGCTTGGTTCCTGGGGATGTGGCTTGTGGCATACTCCAATTGATGTAGATTCAAACAGATTTTGATACGCAATTGATGTATATAATATTGATCTTACTACTCCGATTAATAATGGGGTATGATCAATTAATATTACCAATGGATATACATTAATTGGAGAATCCTTCGTCAATGTTTCCTTGATAATTACTTTGGAGTATTTGGCAATTCATATCCATACTCAACCCCAGATGAAGGGAAAATTCAGGGAATTTTGAGGGGGCTAGCAGATCTGACTCTTAGACCTCGCTATACATCCTCCATGTTACGGTTTTCGCAATCATCGATTTTCGCGCACTGTGCAGCCTCCGAAAAAGTTGTTCCTGATTGGTTTCTGGAAAAATCGGAAAGATTGGAAGAACTGGGACTTCAAGCTTGCAGCTTTTCCTGCCAAAATCCAATGTGGATGTATATTCCCTTTCTGGACTGACTAACCCTTCAAAATCAGTTTCTAGCTCAACTTATATAGTATATATATATATATACATAGATAGATAGATATTATACACACATATACAGATCCCATAGCCCATGAACTATACCCTTCCTTATATCAATGGCCATTTCAGGATCCTAGATTGGAGGTACCTACCATATATAAGGCCTATGCAAGGGAATATCCCCATAAAATATGGCCTTATATGGTACAGTACCTCCATTTTAGGATCCTGGAGATCTCCCATTGATATTATACGTTGTTTTTTGATCCACCTTTAACCTGTTCCAGAAACTTCGATCCTGGCGTTGTGAGCCCCGAAATCAGAATCGCAAGGGGCGTTGAACCTACCAATGTTGAGCGCTTAGAGTCGGTCACTGAAATCATCTGTTTTATCCATCTGGTTTCTGGGGAATGTTTGATTTTAGGGGGAGGGGATTATTATCATTTTCCCATCATAGACACCAACTATACATATAAATATGTTCCCTATCATTCCCAAACATAAGTATATTACCCTCCAGTAATCAAACATGGCAATGGACAATTAGTTATTGAGTTCGTTGATTTTTCTAGTGCACGCGATTTCCCATTGCCATGTTTGATTACTGGAGGGTACCATCCCCACAACGAACGAACATGGCGACCCTGCCATGAGTTTGGGGTTGGAAGACGTTGGAAGACAATTACTATATATTTCTCTAAGAATGACTGATTCTCAGGGCAACCTTTGGTTAGGGGATGGTTTTTGTTGGTTTGCAACATCCAATGTTTATTTGATGGTTGCCCTTTGAGAATGTGTAAACAAACACAAATTAACATCAACTAGACATGGATTATTGGTATCGTGCCCTTTCATAGGAATCCTTTCATCCACATGGTCCAGATGTCATGCCCTTTGCAGATTAGAGAATGGTGATGTTTCATGAAGCATCTCCAGCATTGGGCACATGTTTGACTCAATGGAAGGCCTCAGTACTGTCCCTGGTTTTCTCAGCCAGAGCTCCATAGTGGGTTTCATCCCAGTATTACAAGTCTTATAGAAGGTATGGTCAACATTAATTAAGTGTGTAATAACTAATCTTAATTCCCATTTGGAAGGTTTTCAACATGACCTTTCAATCCAAAATACTGGTCCCCTTGAACAGGTGATGTTTATGGAGAGGAAATCTGTGTGGGTCAAAGGACATACCAACAATTGATTGTATTCCAGGATAACCATAGCTGATATCCTCATGGAACAGATTCAGGGATTCCACATATTCTCCAGCTAGTGGCTGCAGAGTGACATGGCTGGAACTTGAAAACCCTACACAACCACAGATTTCGGTGTTTTTTTGCATTGTTTCCTGGTGGTAAACCACCCATTCTTTTGTACCATGAAAATAGGCTACTCTTGACTTTGATGTTTAGTCATCATGTTTTTCATTCAAATGCCGGCCGGCGACTTCATGGTTGTCCCTGTTCTCAGACACATGCACATATCATACATATCATACATATAATATTATATATTTATTATATACATATATATATATATATTACAATATATATATGTTATATGTCGATTATGTTGATTGTATGCCTTATGATTATATCCCCTATTGGCTTACCATTATTCATTCGTTGAATCCCTATCGATGGTGAACATATCCAATTTTTGGATTATCAACAATTTCTATCTAAAACACACATATATATATATATAACACATATAATGTATCATGTATGGAGATTATCATTATGTTTCCATATATATATATAATGTCTGTCTATATGGAGAATTCCCCATTTTCAGACAGACAGCCATCTCATATTTCTTGGATGGCAACCCTGTAGGAAGCAGCTGCCCAACATGGAACTCAAGATGCGAGTGAGCTTCATTCCGCTTGTACCGAGCCCAGCAGTATTCAAACGCCTGGTTGGTTGATGGAAAAAATATAGGGGATTCGATTCTATCCAACATGATGAGAATAATCCAATAATTAGGGGAATGAAACAAGTGTTTTTTTCCACCTGAAAGATTGTAATATCCATGGGTGGAGGTGATTTTCCATGACTTATAAGTGGTTAATAATCCTAGTGGTTAGGAGGACTATATTAATGGGAATGCATGGGAATAGCATGGGAATATACCAATTTGTAATCTGTTACCTAGCTATTGAAAATGGCCACAGTTCGTTAATTTACCTATGAAAAAACTGATTTTCCATGGCTATGTCTACGTTAAATAGCCAGAGGGTAACCACCTGAAAGATTTAAAGACCGTGATTGATCATCATTTTTTTAGGATTTGTTAGTTTCCCATCTTCTCTTTTGGTTGCCTATCTTTTTCTTTCAATGCTCCGATAGAGTGATGTACCCTCCAGTAAACAACCAACAGATACATGAGCGGCAGGCCAAGTTGAATGATGGTGTAAACTACTCTAGTCGTTCTTGAATAGCATCCATTTTGTACCATATATATAACGAAATCTATGTAGATTACGTAGTATCCAAATTTCAAAGAAGTCTGCATGCTGAATATTAGCTATCGTTTTTTTTATCGTTTGATCACCGAGGTATCAAAGAAAGGTGTTTCCGCATCGGATGTGCAAGTCGAAGGAGCAGGGAAACTCGGGAAGCTCGATGGCCTGATGGAGCGTTGGTCAAAAATGCTGTGACAATCATAACTGTTTGGTGGTTTCATGTGGCAGTGTGTCAAAACCTTGTACACCTGGTGAACATCAAAACAGCTGGTAAATGGATGTTCATCCCACTAAAAATGGTATTAATAGGTATTGATCCATAGCCATGTGGTTTCAAACATTTGGATTATGTTCCATCATTTATGGGATGTCATCCCAACCCCATTGACGAAGTCATATTTTTCAAGATGGTTTTTGCACCACCAACCAGATATGTGCCCACGATGATCTATGTGAACTCATGTGTTTGACAGTTTACTATAATATATCTAACACATTCTAAAAAAACTAAGGTCAAAACAAGCATCGCTTCTCAGTGTGTTTCCCCATTCGTTGGAGTTCCTTCGCAATGCCTGTTGGGTTTCCTAAAATGGGAGTACCCCAATAACTGGATGGTTTATCATGGAAGATCCTCTTAAAGGGTTTGGGGTACCCCTATTATATGGAAACCTCCATATAACCTTAGTTGCAGGAGTTTTAATCCCATTTATTACTGTTAAGGGCCATAACTGTACAACATATGGTAATATGGTTGGTGACGTCCGTAATTCTAGGCTATCAGTGAAGACTGGCTGATGGAGCTGGAACTGTGTAAATGGTTTGTTTCTTGGGGGTACCCAGTGGAATTCCATGTGTCCATCTGTTTTGTGTATGTTAGGTGCTATGTTTTGACCCATGCCCATATCTCATAAAAATTATTTTAGGCACTTCACACCTGACTCTTGACAATGTATTGTGAGACTTGACGACTCCCAAAAATATTTTTTCTGCCAGGATTGTTCACGGGCACCGGGCTGAAGCAGCGCTAGGGCTGAATGGTCTTCTGGGGTTTCAAAACTGCACTTAGGTTCAAACACGGATTAATCATTTTTTGGTTGGGGTCCCACCTCCTTTGGGTCGGAGGGATGATATTGAAAAAGTCAATACGGATCTATTTGCGGCCAACAAAAAGAAACGTTATTTCAGAATCCAACCCCCACCATCAATAATCCATCAATACCATCCATATCACCCTCTGTTTTGAATCCCCGCATTCCGCCTGGTTCATTCGCCTGGATGAACGTCCGCCCAGATGGATGACGATGAGCAGCGGGACGAGCGTGCTGTCGAAGCTGCAGGTGGAAGTTCTGGTCGTGGAAAACTCTGGCGATTTTTGCCCCCATTGAATTGCACACTGTTCAGCATTGTCATCGGGACATTGAACGAACATGATGATAAGGATTGAGAAGGTAATGAAATATCACCATAAGGTAATTATATCACCATAAGGTACCCTCTGGTTATTCAACATAGCCATGGAAAATATCATTTTTAAGTTCGGTAAACCATATATTTCTATGGGCCATCTATTTCCCATGGCAAACTGTTAGTCATAACCAGAGGCTTTTTTTTTATCACCGGCTATATAATTATATCACCATAGAAGATATTCTGTGAGCATGGGCTACTCATGGGCCATGGATATTTATCAGAGGGATGACCACACAAATCTTTGAGTACTGCAAGGTCGCTGGTAAATGAGTACGAACGATCGTACGACTATACTATGTTAGACCCCAAGCA